ATTTTTGGAATTCGGAATTTTTGGAATTCGGAATTTTTGGAATTCGGAATTTTTGGAATTCGGAATTTTTGGAATTTGGAATTTTTGGAACTTGGAATTTTTGGAATTTGGAATTTTTGGAATTTGGGATTTTTGGAATTTGGGATTTTTTAAATTTGGAATTTGGGATTTTTGAAATTTAGAATTTGGGATTTTTGGAATTTGGGATTTTTAGAATTTGGGATTTTTGGAATTTGGAATTTTTGGAATTTCGGATTTTTGGAATTTGAAATTTTTGGAATTTTGGATTTTTGGAATTTTGGATTTTTGGAATTTTGGATTTTTGGAATTTTGGATTTTTGGATTTTTGGAATTTTGGATTTTTGGAATTTTGGAATTTTATTTTTGGAATTCGGAATTTTTGGAATTCGGAATTTTTGGAATTCGGAATTTTTGGAATTCGGAATTTTTGGAATTCGGAATTTTTGGAATTCGGAATTTTTGGAATTCGGAATTTTTGGAATTCGGAATTTTTGGAATTCGGAATTTTTGGAATTCGGAATTTTTGGAATTCGGAATTTTTGGAATTCGGAATTTTTGGAATTCGGAATTTTTGGAATTTGGAATTTTTGGAACTTGGAATTTTTGGAATTTGGAATTTTTGGAATTCGAGAATCTAGCAATATTAATCATAAAATGACATCATCTTTACTTTCCTATGATTGCTCCCTATCTCCGAAATAATCACCTCCACCATAGGCACTGTTTGACAAGATTCCGAAAGTTCAAACAGCTATTAACTTTCAATTTCCCTGTTTGCATTGGTTACGTTTCAATTTTCTTATCTATTTGCATCGATCGGTGAGTCATGAACGCGAAGAAAGGTACAGGATTTCTTTCCACCGTAAACAGTGAAAACAAGTTTACAAGGTAACGAAACGCTCCGTCGTTTATCTTCTGCGATAACAATTATCAAGCCAATTAAAGATCTCAATTACGATAATGGCTTTTCAAACATACGATCGTCTTACACGCGAACGGTGAATAATTCGCCTATCTCTATTTCTATATTTATTTCGCCAACGGTAGCACTCGTTATGTGGCCTGGGGTTGAAAGTCAATTCGGAAATAAATTAGATCAGAATATTCAAGATCAATGATGTAATTGTTTAAGGCCTCCTTAATTCCTTAACTCTCTCGAATCTATAATAATGTCTATAACAAGATAAAATCGAAATAATTCGACACTCGAATTTAATCGTACGTTAGTCGAACGGTATAAATTATAGTTTAATTCGAAATCCAATTTCGCTCGATCGACGAGCAAATGTTCGTTAAACGATTGTTTAATAACGCGTTCCAATTTTCAATACAACTCGTTCGTTCGATGGTTAAATGCGACCGAACGATTTTGTAGTTTAAGAAGTTGGAAATTAAATATAAGTTCCTTGAGGAATTAAAGCGAAGTTGCGATAAGTTATTAAACTTAATTATTGTAATTAGTTTATTTGATTGCGAAGGTTATAATTGAATTATAGTAATTGAGATAAACGAAGGAAAGTAATGAATAATATTTAGAGAAGTCGAAGTGAAATGAATTCGAAGTGGATGCTAGTTTATGGAATACGAAGGAAGATAATTAAAAGAGCAGCCATTACACGATGGGAATAACAAGCAATAGTAACGTACGAGATAAGGATTATCTAAGGGGAAATTAATTTGATTTACTACAACTGCGTCAGCCTTTCACCTAACAATCTTCCACGAAACAATTTATGTTGATATGTTTATGTGGGGTAAAACATTTGTTTCTGCAAGGATATTCAATTTGAGAAATGTACGTTTGTAGATTTGGGAATTTGGAAATTGGGATATTGAGAAATTGAGAAATTAGGAAATTGGAGAATTTGGATATTAGGAAATTGAGGTATTGAGAAATTGAGAAATTGGGAAATTGGGGAATTTGAAAATTGGGAAATTTCGGAATTTAAAATTGGAAAATTGAGGAATTTGGAATTTGAGAAATTTGGAAATAGGGGAATTTGGAAATTGGGAAATTAGGAAATTAGGGAATTTGGAATTTGAGAAATTGGGAAATTTAGAAATTTGGAAATAGGGGAATTTGGAAATTGGGAAATTTGGGAATTTGGAAATTGGGGAATTTGGGAATTTGGAAATTGGGGAATTTGGAAATTGGGAAATTTGGAAATGGGGAAATTGGGAAATTGGTAAATTGAGAAATTTGGAAATTGGAAAAATGGGAAATTTGGGAATTTGGAAATTTGGAAATTTGGAAATTGGAAAATTGGGAAATTGGGAAATTGGAAATTGGGGAATTGGGAAATTGAGAAATTGGAAAAATGGGAAATTTGGGAATTTGGAAATTTGGAAATTGGAAATTGGGGAATTGGGAAATTGAGAAATTTGGAAATTGGGAAATTGGGAAATTGGGGAAATTGGAAAATTGGGAAATTGGAAATTGGGGAATTGGGAAATTGAGAAATTGGGGAATTGGGAAATTGAGAAATTGAGAAATTGGGAAATTGGGAAATTGAGAAATTTGGAAACTGCAAAATTGGGAAATTTGGAAATTGAGAAATTGGGGAATTTGGAAATTGGGAAATTGGGAAATTGAGAAATTTGGAAATTGGGAAACTAGGAAATTTGGAAATTGGGAAATTGAGAAATTTGGAAATTGGGAAATTGAGAAATTTTATAATTTGGAAACTGGAAAATTGGGAAATTTGGAAATTGTGAAATTGGGGAATTTGGGAAATTTGAAAATTGGAAAATTGAGAAATTTGAAAATTCTAAATTACTAAATTTAATCTTGAGAAGTCACAAATTAATAAATACATGAAAAAGATGTTTGAGTTCACTCAGAAATCGACAGCAATTAGTTAAATCGAATACATGAACACTCGTGTCCCAGATTTCTTCTAATCACCAGTGTACGATTCACTCAGGTGGAAATTGAAGTCGATCGATGTTTTTACCTCCTTAATTGCCTGCCTCTGCTCGTTTATTTAATATCACATTTATCGGTAGCTGTAACGCCTTCCAAGTATCGTTTCACTGAATACTTTTGCGATTCTATCTAATGAATCGTAAATATAACGCGATACAAAATATTAATATTAATATTTGTTCTTTGAAGGCTGGGCTAATGACCATGGCAGTCGATGCCCATAACATTAATCATCATCATCTTTGAAGGCTACCTTCTTCACTTATCTACCTTTGTTTAAGTATCTATATACTCCATTCAAGTTCGACTAAATTCTTATTTTATAAAAGAAAATTTAATTGGCAATCAACGATTGTTGAGGCTGCTTTAATTATTGCTTTAATAAATGAATGCACTGAAGGTGGTAAAAGACTCACCGCTCGCTAATTTATCTTTTAATTGCCACGCGGCTGTCCATTTAATTAAAAAATACCAGCAACACTGCCGGAGGAAAAAATCAAGCGGATTAACATCTGACCAATATAATTCGCTCGTTTATCTTTTCTCGAAATCGTTCCTCTTCAAATTAATTCCAATTAATCTCGTTTCTCGGCCGCGATAAATCCCGTTCGCCTGGATAGTTCGTTTAATTTTAATCTAATCCAACAACGTTCCCTGCTGAAAAGAATATCGTCGAATATCCGTAATGAAATAATTTCGATCGTCTTTCGTCCGTGAATTTTCTGCCTTTTCGCGATAATTAACTGCTACAAATATCGCTCGGTATTAACCGCGCTAAATCTCCGCGCGTTGTGTATCTGATCGCGAAATTACTTTCGATTTTAATCCCGGAGATCGCGTTGGAGAGATGAAAAAGTGTAATCGGGGATCATGCTTGCGAATACCGACTTCCGGGTGGTCAGTATCCGATATCCTAGGGTTTTACCGAGTTAACCTAATAACCGCTGAAACACCGCTGGAGATCAGCTAGAAATTTCGTAGATTTCAGCTCTAATTTCTTTTAACTTTACTAAATGAAGAATGAATAGATGATAATAGATACTTTCCTGAAACTTCATTCTCTATTCTCTAAATTCCAAATTCCCTAAATTCCAAATTGGAATTGGATCAATTTTATAAACCCCTATACTTCGCAAATACTTTGAGTACTAAATTCCCTAGTCTTTATAATAGTAATTTTTCTCAAATTCCTAAAGTGAAAAATTCTCTAGATGAGCAGATCATCGAACTTCACAATATCCCTAGATCGGCAAATCCTCAAATTTCCTAAATTACAACAATCGAAATTTCCCTAGATCCCTAAATCCCCGAATTCCCCAATGTTCCTAGGTCCTCAAATTTTCTAAATCCTTCAACGCAAAAATTCCCTAGATCCTCAAATCCCCCAATTTTCATAAAATTTTCCCAAAATTTTCCAAATCCCTACATTCAAAAATTCCCTAGATCCTCAAATCCCCCAATTTTCTCCAAATGGTCCAAATTCCTAAATTCAAAAATTCCCTAGATCCTCAAATCCCCGAAATTCATGAAGTTAGAAATTCCCTAAATTTCCCAGTTTCCCTAGATATGTCAAATCTCTTAATTCTTAAAGTTCAAAATTCCCTAGAGTCTCAAATCCTTAAATTTACCAAATTCAGAATTCCCTAGATCTGAAAACTTCGAAGTTCCCCAAAATTCCCTATATCCTTGAATTCCTGAATTATTAAAGTAACAAATTCCCTAAATTTCCATATCTCCAAATCCCAAGTGGTAAAAATTCCCTAGGCTTTCAAATGCCTAAATTTCGGAAGTTTAGAATTCCCTAGACCCAAATCTCCAAATTTTCCATATTCAGAATTCCCTAGATCTGAAAATTTTTAAATCCCCTAGATTCCCTATATCCCAGAGTCCTCGAATTATTAAAGTAAAAAATTCCCTAGACTCTCAAATTTCCAAATTCGAAAAGTTGAAAATTCTCTGGATTCTCAAATCTTCAAATCCCAAGTGGTAAAAATTCCCTAGGCTTTCAAATGCCTAAATTTCGGAAGTTTAGAATTCCCTAGACTCAAATCCCCAAATTTTCCATATTCAGAATTCCCTAGATCTGAAAACTTTGAAATCCCCCAGATTCCCTATATCCCAGAGTCCTCGAATTATTTAAATTAAAAATTCCCTAGACTCTCAAATTTCCAAATTCGAAAAGTTGAAAATTCCCTGGATTCTCAAATCTCCAAATCCGAAAAGTTCAAAATTCCCTAGACCTTCACATGCCTAAATTTCGGATGTGTAAAATTCCCTGGACTCCCAACTCACCAAATTTTCAAAATCCCTAAATTCCCCAAACTTTGTAATTCCCCAGTTCCTCAAATTCGAAACTTTCCAATAATTTCCCAATTTTCAAATAATTAATTTTCCCAAGTTTCTCAATTTCCGAAATTTCTAACTTCTCGAGGACAAAGAAATTATTTAAATTTCTATTTCGTAATCTATCACTCATAATATTGAAATGTGATAATGATAATTATTTTGTGTAATTTGTACTTATTAGCCTTCTTCATTTCCTGGTCTATATCTTGTATCTATGCATAATGCAACGTGCTCGAGTATTCGGTTTTGTCCTCGATAACTATAGAATAATAGGAATTGTAATTAGAATATTAATATGGAATTTTTTATTTCAGAGCCATATTGTCGCATCACTTTCGACGGCTGGTCCTGTTGGCCGAACACACCAGCTGGAACGACAGCCTATGCACCATGTCCAAACTTTATCACCGGTTTCGACGCCTCCTGTGAGTCCTCTTCATATTTCCATATATTCATTCTAGAATAATAAATCAACCACCGAGAAAAAACTCGAAAAAAGTCCTTAAATTAACTTCGGTCATTTGAAACTTAAAATACTAGAATACCAAAATAGAAAAATACCAAAACAAAAATGTTCAAATCCTGAAATTAACATTCTAAAGTCGCATCTAACAGGCAAGGTTCAAAATTACAAAACTTTTTGCACAACATTTTATTAATCAAGTTACTCACGCGTGCAGACCAGGTGAACCTGATCGAACAGTACACGCGTAAAGCGGTATTAAATAATATTCCAAGCGTATAGTACAAAAATACATTTGATAAGAAAATAAATGAATATTGACAGAGCGAGTCTGTCGTATTTGTACGTCATTAACAAGTACAAAACTCCCGTCGAACTCCATCGACAAATTCCATCGACCGCAAATTTCATCTTCCAAAAACTTCCTCCGAAGCAAATCCTCGCTGCATCATGCAGATCGGTCTGGCATCGTATCTGCCGCGTAACACTCTAACACGCGGTGTTGAGAACGTCGGCGATGATGCCGTTGACCGCCGGATGCTTGAAGCTGCTGAACTTCCGCACCAGGTTGTCGTACCTGTCCGCGTAGTTGTCTCTCTTCATCGGCTTGAACACGTTCACGGCCATCAGCATCGCCTCCGTGGTCCCCGTCTCCACCAGACCCTCCACTACTCCCAGCATCAGCTGATCCTGCTCGTAGCCCTCGATCCTGTACCTCAAGGCCAGCTCCCGCAGGACGTCGGCCATGAACGGTATGAACGCGAGGGAGAAGGCGTTGACTAGTTCCGGCAACATCTGACCTATCCTGGCGCCGAATTTCTTGGGCTCGTTCAGTGCCACGTACTCCTTCAGGTACATCAAATTCAGGAACGACGTGGGGTTCATCAGCGACGTCACTACCGACGAGAACATCTTCCGGAACGCTTCAACCAACTTCAGACTCTTTTCCTTCGACGAGCAAACGTTGTACGTAAATTTGGACACGAAGTGGTGGACACCGTGGTTCACCGGGAAGAACGACGGCCTTGAAGGCACGTCCCAGCCGGTCTTCACCGCCTCTACGAACACCCTGGCGAACAGGTTGAACCGCTTCTCGATGTCCTCGGTCGGGAACAGGTACTTGTCGATCACGAACTCCGTGGCGGACGCGGCGATCTCCGGTTCCACGTGGAAGAGGAACCTGCGGAGGAGCTGCTCGACGAAGTCGTCGGGGAGGAGTCTGCACTCGGCGATGTTGATGAAGGTCAGCAGGTTGGCGGTGTTCGAGATGGTCTCCTTCTTCGAGACGCCGGCTTGCGCGAACCTGTCGATCGAGTCGAGGATCAGCTTCACCAGCTCGACCACCATCTGGTCGGGGACTTGTCGGATCAGCTGCATCAGCTCCATCACGGCGGACTTCTCGCTGACCGTCAGGGTAGCGACCAGGCGACTGAACATCTTCCAGGTGTTCTCGTCGAGGTCGTTCACGAACAGGTCTCTGGCTTTGGCGAAGATCACCTCGCGGATGGAATGGTGGTTCTCGGACTCCCACTTCGAGAGGAGGAAATGCAGGAGCTTGTCGCGAGGGGCGATCATGTGCATCAGCCTTATGCCGTGCTTCTTCACGGACACCCTCTGGCTGCTCATCGTCTCTGCGAACGAGAGCGCCTCTATCAGCGGAGTGCGTCGGCAGGTGTTGGTCAGAATGATCAGGGCTACGTTCAGGAACTCTCCTTCGAGCAGTCTGGCTACCAGGTGCAGGGGCAGCGGGGGGTTGACTATCTTGGAGGCCCTGGCTATGCTGACCACCTGCAGGTAGTCCATCTTGGCGTTCTCTCCGTGCACGTCGATCGTTTTCACGGCGGGGATCAGAGGTTCGACGAGCTGGGCGAACGTGTCGCCGTGGAGGAGGATGGCGAAGATGCCCAGGCTGTCGAAGGTTGTGTTTTCGTTCATGTTTCGGAAGCTCTCCTCGACGAATCTGACGGGGATGTCCTTGTACCACAGCGTGGTTCTGACGAAGCGTCTGACGCTTCTGCTGTGTAGACTCCTCTGGGCGGCTTCCACGTACTCCCTCCATCGCGCCAGGATGCTCTCCGGGCTCTTCCTCAGCAGCTTCAGAGCCTCTCCCGACTCGACGTTGGCGATCTTCAACGCCTCCTCCGGCCAGAAACGCAGGAGAAGGTCCTTCTCGTGCTCCTCTAACATGCGCTTGAAGTTGTTCATGAGGTAGACGTCGTGCATTTTTTTCTCCGACAGGACCTCGGTGATCTTCTGCAGTAGCCAAGGGTAGTTCTTGACGGACATGCGCTGCACCGAGCTGTTCTTGTTCACGTGCCTGCCGTTGAAGACGTACATCGAGTTGGACAGGTCGAACACGGCGCCGACCTTGTCCTTGTGCCAGGGCGCCTTCTCGGAGTCGTACTTCTGCGAGAGGATCGCCAGACAGGCCTCCAAACACATCCTCTCGTACTCCGGGTACTTTGTGAGAATGTTCCAGTCGTTCGCATAACTGGCGCACTTCGACTCGATCAGTACCTCCATCATCTGGTCCAAGGGCTGCTTGTTGATGATCTTGAAGTGGATGATGAATTCTATAATCTTCTCGCAGACGCTGTCTCCTGTCAACTCGTTCTTCGTCCGCAGACGCAGTATCATCTCTGTCAGAATCGCCATGTGGTTCTCGTTGAACTCGGGAGTCTCGTACTGTTCCACCAGACACTCGAACACCCTCAGGAACAGCCACTGTTGCTCGTTCCTGTGTCTGTCGTTGATGTACTTCAGAACGTCCAGCAGTGCTTGATCGTCGTTGTTCACTCTGCAGCAGAAGATCATCTGGCGCAGTATGATCGCTCTGTCCTCCATCTTAGACGTTCCTGCGACCTGCTTCTTGAAGTTGGGCAGTGCTTCCTCGGTAGATAGATAGCTCTTCCAACATTTCGAGTAGCTTATCAGAGTCGCGTTCCACGAGTCGTCGTCCACCTCGGCTAATTTGATCCTCGCTTGCTTCGCTCGCTCCTCGAGAGGCAGCATCCGTAGCAATCTAGGCGTCACGTTTTTCGACGTCTCCAGCAAGTCTTTTTGATACACCTGTCGGTAGGTTTTCAGGAAGAAGTCCACTTTCTTCTCCTGCGGGTAGAAGTTCAGGTAGTTCAACATTGCGTCGGTGTTGAACTGATCGATGTTCCTCGGGAACAGTTTCGCGAAGATGCTCTCCATGCGGTTCGCGCTGATCAGCTTCAGGGGCAGTATACAAATATACAGTTGGGGATTCCGCAGTAGGTGCTCCTTGCCGTTCTTCAGGAAGGTCTCGGCGCACTTGTTGCTTAGCATCGGGGTGCGAATGTTGTACGTCTCGTAGAGTTCGACGAAGGAGTTCAGTCTTTTCTTGATGAGAGCCGGTAGGAAGTCCGTGAACTCGAACACGTTCACGGGATGAAGATCCCTCTCGTTCGGTCTGTCGCCGACTTTGGTCAGCTTCAGGTACTTCACCATGAAGTCCGGATTCCTGCGGAAGATGTCCTTGCCCTGTTTCCGGCCCAGCACGATCCTCTTCTCCACGATGGTGTTGTACATGAAGCTGTCGCTGCACGCGAGCAGCAGCGGCAACGCCTGCTGTAGCCCGTAAGTCTTGCTGACCGCGACGAAGAAACATTCGGCCAGGTCGGTGTTCTTCGATCTCAGACGATTAGCTAGGGTCTTTATGATACGCGTTCTGATCTTCAGCGACACGTACGGGAACAGGTTCTCGAAAAAGTACTGTACACTGGTGATCGTTTTGTTGGTGCCGTCGAAGAACCGGCGGGACTCGAACGCTTTGTTCGCGACTAACGCGTCTCTCGATTTTAGAGCCTCCGCTATGGCCTGGTAACTTTGCTGATTCGTGCTGTCCTTTTTGTTGAGTATCAAAGCCGCCTGCACCTGAATCAAAGGTATCAGCGATTTAGGGATGTTCTGCGCCTCGGCTACCTCCTCGAGGCTGTTGCATTCGAGTAATCGCTGCTTCGTTGTCCGCGCTATCCATCCAAATTTTTGGTTCATCGTGTCGCCAGGTATCGCCTGAATGGCGTTCAGGTAAGGCGTCTGAACAGCCATTTTTATTCGGTTACGTTCACCTGCACGCTGTGGAAAAACGAGCGAATTATTCTCAGGAAATATATCGGATCATTTTTTTTATTAGAAATAAAATAGAACTTTATTCTTGTTATATTGCTACTTTTTATATTGGGGTTTTAGAGAATTCTTTTTACAAGGACTTTTACGGGTTTTCCAACTTCATATAAAAAGTTGATGACACGTGTTATATTGCCACGCGTTGTAATATTATATTTATTCCTATTATTTCTATCGTCACCTATTAGCATACGACGTATTGCTACGCGTTGTGTTATTACTCACCGAAGTGTAAGTACACGCTGCGTAAATATACGTCGAATTACTGTGCGTCATATTATTACATGCCGAACTGTCACGTGACGTAAATATACGTCACAGTATTACGCGCTGTACTGTCACGTGACGTATAAATACGCATGACGTACATATACGTCGAATTATTGCACGCCGTACTATTACGTGTCGAACTGTCGCGTGACGTAAATATACGTCACAGTATTACGCGCTGTACTGTCATGTGTCATATAAATACGCGTGACGTAAATATTCGTCGAATTATTGCGCGACGTATTATTACGCGTCGAACTGTCGCGTGACGTAAATATACGTCACATTATTACGCGCTGAACTGTTACGTTACGTATAAATACGCGTGACGTAAATATACGTCGAATTATTGCGCGCCGTATTATTACGCGCCGAACTGTCATGTGACGTAAATATACGTCGAATTATTATGCGCTGAATTGTCACGTGTCGTATAAATACGCGTGACGTAAATATACGTCGAATTACTGCGCACTGTATTATTACGCGTCGTATTACTACGCGTCGTATTGCTACGCGTCGAATTTCTACGCGTCGAATTTCTACGCGTCGAATTTCTACGCGTCGAATTGCTACGCGTCGAATTCCTTCGCGTCGAATTTCTACCCGTCGAATTGCTACGCGTCGAATTGTAACGCGTCGAATTTCTACGCGTCGAATTGCTACGCGTCGAATTCCTTCGCGTCGAATTTCTACCCGTCGAATTGCTACGCGTCGAATTGTAACGCGTCGAATTTCTACGCGTCGAATTGCTACGCGTCGAATTCCTTCGCGTCGAATTTCTACCCGTCGAATTTCTACGCGTCGAATTTCTACGCGTCGAATTTCTACGCGTCGAATTGCTACGCGTCGAATTGCTACGCGTCGAATTCCTTCGCGTCGAATTTCTACCCGTCGAATTGCTACGCGTCGAATTTCTACGCGTCGTATTCCTACGCGTCGAATTTCTACCCGTCGAATTGCTACGCGTCGAATTGTAACGCGTCGAATTTCTACGCGTCGAATTGCTACGCGTCGAATTTCTACGCGTCGAATTTCTACGCGTCGAATTTCTACGCGTCAAATTGCTACGCGTCGAACTGCAATGCGTCGAATTACTACGCGTCATATCCCGCTTTACATCGCCTCACGCCACATTGTTATTCTCCATATATAGTTCGTTGACTAATTTCATCTCATGCAAAACACTATCGTTCCCCCGCCATCTTAACGAATAACCGTAAAGATTACAGAAAAATATTTTCGTATTAATTTCAAGAATTTATTAACGCTATCTGTAGTAACGAACCTAGAAAAACGTCAGCATAGAAGTAGATCAGCGATAACAATTACAATCAGTAATCTCGCTGCAAAAGTTATCTTCAACTACGTGCAGTGTTTTTTAAAGTTTTATGTAGGATATCCGACGAAGATTGATCGATATCCGATAACGACTGCAAGTTACTTTTCAACACGAAGCGTAGGCTGATCAAAGTTGAAACTTTGATGCAACATGAAGGAACAAGTATTTTTGTTTCGTAATACGTATTCGTATTTTGTATAGAACCGTTTAATTTTCTGGCTGTCAGAATGTTCGGACGATTACGTCACACGTAAATGGTTGAACGGTATGTCATGCGAAGCGACCGATCAATCTTCCGTTTCATTTTTTTTCATTCATTGGCTTACAGATTAGTTTGTTTGTTGTGCTGCACTGGTCAGGTAATCTGCATATATTTCGAGCCGTTATTCGAGACGCCCAACACGCGATAAACCGAAACGCTGATAAACTTTAGATAACGAGTGTATTTTCGTTATTTTGTAAGTGCAATTTCTAGTAAAATACGTTGGATAAGTTTGAATATGCATTGAGGAAAAAGTTGAAGACCGATGACAACATAATAACAGGCGAAGACAATTCACCTCGTTCCAAAAAAACTGTATACATTATTCGAGACTAATCGCCCTTGAAGGGTACACAAGCTAACGTCGCGCGCATTCCTGTTTGCAGCTCGTAAAATATAAAAATAGAAAGCGATGTTTTTGATAGAAATGTAATCCCGCGTCGAAACTTTTGGAAAACGTTATTCGAAAGAATAACTTTCATTCAAGATTTTTAAACACAAGGCTTATCTTATCGGTGCAATTTTCTTAATCTATTCTATTTTAAAAACTGCAGTTGCGGTTGGGTTTCACAGGAATGTTTATTTTTATCTTGAAACGCTATTTAAGCTCGAACAATCGAACAGTTTTATACAAATTACTGATTACGGTATTCGGTTATCGTAAGTTCGATAAGAGTCATTTAAAAACACATTAGCATCGTTTCCTTAAAATATTTGTCCAACTATAGAATCGGTGGTAAGATAATTATTAAATAACTGTAAAAGAATCTGAACACATTGTTTTAAATACAGAACTTAAATCGTTTGACATTGAAGAAAGAATATTTTTATTTAAAACATGCAGATTTTGTAATCTTAACATAACAATTTGAACCTTCTTTCGAAAATTGATTTCGAGGAAAAACAAGAGGCGCGATGACTCACCGTACACGCATAATATGTCGTGAAATCATCGCAAAGTATGGAGCGATAAAAGAATAATTCATAAATAAACGCAAGAAAAACGTGCATATTATTATTCGCATAACTGATAACCGAACAACAAGATGTCTGTATACCTTTATCTTACCTCAGTAACGGTTGTTGCGGAAAAAAGGCGGACAAAACAGAAGCCGGCTAAAACTTTCGACGACTGTATATTGATTTTCCCAGGCACTCGGAATTTCACTTGGTTACCAGGCCGTTGTTCGATGATTCACGACGAATTTTAATCGTTCATAGTCTTGAAAATTAAAAACGATAAACGGAGCCCCGCTAGCAAAGCGAAGTCAGCTCAGAGTTAAATGATGTGAAACGTCACTCGTATGTTTATGCGGCGAGTTTAAGTTAGGCTAGGTCGATCGGGTCGGTTTACAGACGCACGAACATTAAGGCTGATTTTGAATTATTTCGACACGTTCCTGGATTTGTGCACCGATACTTTTTCATCAATTTTAACGCGATATTTTGTTGAAAGCTCTTACGAATTTGTTGATCATACTGCGTACAGTGAAGAATCTACAGACTTATTATACGATTGACTGCGCATGCTGCCGCGCGTCTGCGCATGCGCTCGGAGTAGTTCGGTTTACTGGCACCGTTTCAACGTGACGTGTTAGGTTCGCTCATTCGCTTTCGCGCGGTCGACGGGTGTGCGTCGACGTGTTCACGAATTTTGAGCTAATGAAGTCATGGCTATTTATACAATGAGAACATGACGTATACCCGAATATTTTGTCAATAGATCAACTTTTTTTCCCGATACATTAATTACAAAGGAAGTAATTTTCTAAGATTAATAAAATAATGATCACATATTTTTAATTCAGGAGTTGAAACGTATAAAGATTCGGGAGTAAAAACATTATTTAAATTCATTTTTGAAAACGATTAGTAAAAAATTTTAAAAAAATTACAAGATAGGCCTGCTACCCCACATATAACGTTCGATGATTAAAAATGCGATTATAATTTGTTCTTCATGCTCTTCCAGTTGAATCTCTGATCATCCTTGCTGGTAGTTTCCATCTTTAGCGTGTCGCCGATGTTCAGATAATCGTATTCGTTTCCTTTCTCGATGGGTTTCCATGTTGTTGTAATAAGATCCGTGGTTTTCGGTGTCGGGTTCCTTAAACAGAATATTTAGGTGTACTTATACCGCAAATTTTCTGGACAATTATCGCCATTATACGTACCCTGTTTTCGCGAAATCGGTCCACATTTGAGTCAAGTACTCCATTACTTTGTATCTCTCGCTTCCGGGTGCCGGTGGCGGTATATTCAGTTCTTTCGCCATATAAGCGTAAAATAGATACGACAATTCGTCCCCGTGGGTCGCTCCTGCGAATCAGAATTTTTTGTAGAATTTCGATTTAGAACTATTTGCATACAGACACGTACCTTTCAGTGTAGACTTGAAGAAAGCTTTCGCCAAAGACATCGGAGAGTCGTAGGTGAATTTATAGAAGTACGTGGGTCGGAGGTTCTTCTCTTGTTGAATTCTCACGACGTCGAATATACCTCGAACGAAGAACGCGTCGCTTATCAAGTCTGCATGTTGCTGCTGCGTGTTTTCCGAAATCGGTTGTTTGCCGAAGTAAATACGTTTTATGTCGCTTGCTGTGACTCCCTCCTTTTTCATGGTCTCTAGCATTTCTGGATGAAGGATCGACTCAAAGTTCTTGTCTATTTTTTCGTAGGTCTCCTTGGTCGCGTTAGGGGTGATCATCACTGTAATTATTACAATTATTTAATAATTTGTTTTCCGTCGCTTATAATCTAATGATCTTACGGCTAATGAGCGAGCCGCCTTCGTTTTCGGCGTAGCCAATCATGAACGGTACTTTGACTCCTTGTTGCATCTGTTCACTTGGAAGTTCTGGTAAGAACGGATTCGGGGATTTTTTGTCGACACCTGGTCCGAACAATCCGAACGTGGTGAAACAGATCTGTAAATTAAAATTAATTTCAAAGATGAAACCTCGCTTAGGATTTTTGGAAATTTAGGGATTTGGAATTTGGGGAATTTTGGAATTTGGGAATTTGGGAAATTTCGGATCTGGGGAATTTGGGATTTGGGGAATTTGGGATTTGGGGAATTTGGGATTTGGGGAATTTGGGATTTGGGGAATTTGGGATTTGGGGAATTTGGGATTTGGGGAATTTGGGATTTGGGGAATTTGGGATTTGGGGAATTTGGGATTTGGGGAATTTGGGATTTGGGGAATTTGGGATTTGGGGAATTTGGGATTTGGGGAATTTGGGATTTGGGGAATTTGGGATTTGGGGAATTTGGGATTTGGGGAATTTGGGATTTGGGGAATTTGGGATTTGGGGAATTTGGGATTTGGGGAATTTGGGATTTGGGGAATTTGGGATTTGGGGAATTTGGGATTTGGGGAATTTGGGATTTGGGGAATTTGGGATTTGGGGAATTTGGGATTTGGGGAATTTGGGATTTGGGGAATTTGGGATTTGGGGAATTTGGGATTTGGGGAATTTGGGATTTGGGGAATTTGGGATTTGGGGAATTTGGGATTTGGGGAATTTGGGATTTGGGGAATTTGGGATTTGGGGAATTTGGGATTTGGGGAATTTGGGATTTGGGGAATTTGGGATTTGGGGAATTTGGGATTTGGGGAATTTGGGATTTGGGGAATTTGGGATTTGGGGAATTTGGGATTTGGGGAATTTGGGATTTGGGGAATTTGGGATTTGGGGAATTTGGGATTTGGGGAATTTGGGATTTGGGGAATTTGGGATTTGGGGAATTTGGGATTTGGGGAATTTGGGATTTGGGGAATTTGGGATTTGGGGAATTTGGGATTTGGGGAATTTGGGATTTGGGGAATTTGGGATTTGGGGAATTTGGGATTTGGGGAATTTGGGATTTGGGGAATTTGGGATTTGGGGAATTTGGGATTTGGGGAATTTGGGATTTGGGGAATTTGGGATTTGGGGAATTTGGGATTTGGGGAATTTGGGATTTGGGGAATTTGGGATTTGGGGAATTTGGGATTTGGGGAATTTGGGATTTGGGGAATTTGGGATTTGGGGAATTTGGGATTTGGGGAATTTGGGATTTGGGGAATTTGGGATTTGGGGAATTTGGGATTTGGGGAATTTGGGATTTGGGGAATTTGGGATTTGGGGAATTTGGGATTTGGGGAATTTGGGATTTGGGGAATTTGGGATCTGGGGAATTTGGGATTTGGGGAATTTTGGAATTTGGGAAATTTCGGATCTGGAGAATTTTGGAATTTGGGGTATTTCGGATCTGGGGAATTTGGGATTTGGAGAATTTTGGAATTTGGGGAATTTTGGAATTTGGGAAATTTCGGATCTGGGGAATTTTGGAATTTGGGGAATTTCGAATCTGGGAAATTTGGGATTTGGGGAATTTTGGAATTTGGGGAATTTCGGATCTGGGGAATTTGGAATTTGGGGAATTTTAGAATTTGGAGAATTTGGGGAATTTGCGAAATTTCGGATCTGGGAAATTTTAGATTTGAAGACTTAAAAATTTGAGATATAGTAATCCAAAAACTTGGACCTAGGGAAAAACTTGGACTAGGAAAGTCTCGGGATTGTGGAATTAGGGAATCTTCTCTACCAGCTCCTCTTATAAGTTCTAGTCCTCTTCTTCAAGGTTCTCAGTATTCTCTTCTAAATCCTCTTTGTAATCTTTCTCACGATCTTCTCTTCATAATCCTTTTCAAGATCTTTAGCTTCCTTCAAAATCTCCGTTAGGATTCATATTTTCTTTACCCATACATGTGACTAATCACCCGAAGAAGACCAGAACGTTATTGACTTTACCTTCCGCTCTCCAAACGAAAATCTATTTCTACGATCGTTCCCGATTTTCACGAGCAATCTTTGTATCGTCGATTTCAAAGGAATCGTTACCTCGGGCGTTAGAAGTTTGTGCTCGGCATTGATGAGTTCCGCAGGCTCCACCTTCCTGAAGAACTCGAGCACGGTCGCGGGATCAGTGGAATGTTCGCCTAGTTGCGCAGCCACCTGGAACGCGTATTTCCTCGGATCTTTCTTTATGTAGGCCCAAGGGTTCACTGCCACGCCGCTCTGCGCTATTGCTTTGTGAAATAGCCCTGCGAAAGGGAAGGATGAACACGAGCTCCGACTACGAATCAATGGGGTTGAAATAACTGGGGTAGCATTCTGCGCGTAAAAACAAACGGGATAACGGGTGTCCGATCTGTGGCATGGTCGAGAATATCGCAGATAAGAAGTAATATCGCAGATAAAAAGATTATTGCTAGGATATCAGTGCGAAAACACTGAAGCATAACGCATATCCTTTCTGGTGTATCGTTAGATACGCGAAGGGGAACCTCGGATTATTTCAAGCGTGTCGAAACGATCGTTGACAAGTTTCGAATTAGAAAGTTCTAACGAGGTGATTTCAATGATAATTGCGTACCTTGCGATAATGGAGATATGGTTAAATAATGTATGGAGGCTCCACCGGCGCTCTCTCCGAATATGGTTACGTTGTTCGGATCTCCGCCGAAGCTTGATATATTCTCTTTAATCCATTTCAGAGCCATTACTTGATCCTTCAGACCCTGATTACCGGGCGCAATTTCGTCCTCCAAATTCAGGAAACCTGAAACAGGAATCAAGACATTTCTCCTTTATTTTCCACGACCACGATTTCCTACGTTTCACCGACTGCTCTGTGCTCTGAATAGTAAGCAGACGAATTTGAATGAGGAATGATTTTCGGATAGAACGGGGTCGTCGGATTTTTCTAGGGGATCATGTCTGCCATTTGCCTTAACGGCGGAGCCACTTAGTTGCACGTTCGTGCGGCGGACGTTTTAGAATCGCGAGCTCTCGATATAAAAACGTATTACGTTACTTGGAAACACTTAGCGAAACGAATTCGATTGAATTTGTAATCCCGGATTGCCCCTGATATCTCCAAAATAGATTTTCATAGTTTCCATCTTTTACGCATGAAATGTTGCGAAACATCAAGTATTATGGATCAATAACGGATACGTACCCAGTATACCGACCCTGTAATTAATCGTGACGAGGACAACGTCCTTTCGAACGAGATAATCGGGACCGTAAAACCTGTCGTTGCCAGATCCGTTCATGAAAGCGCCGCCGTGGATCCACACCATGACCGCGCGTTTCGGTGATTCGTTAATCGGTCTGTACACGTTTAAGTACAGAGAGTCCTCGGTTCCTATTAATTGACGAGTAAGTATATCGATTTGGACGCACTCGTCGCCGAATTTCGATGCGTCTCTCACTCCCGTCCATGGTTCGGCTGGCACTGGATCCTACAAATCAAAATGGACAAGTAGAAAACGACTGTCTTTTCTAATTATGGTAATTTCATTGATTTAACTTTTGAATTTAGGGAATTTTTTATCTGGGGAATTTTGGAATCTGGGTAATTTTGGTATTCGGAATTTTGGATTTGGGGAATTTTGGAATTTGGGGAATTGCGGATTTAGGGAATTTTGGAATTTAGGGAATTTTGGAGTTTGGGGAATTTCGGAATTTGGGGAATTATGGATCTAGGGAATTTTTGAGTTCAGGGAATTTTGGATTTGGGGAATTTTGGAATTTAGGGAATTTTGGATTTGGGGAATTTTGGAATTTAGGGAATTTTGGATTTGGGGTATTTTGAATTTGGGGAATTTTGGAATCTGGAGAATTGTGGACCTAGGGAATTTTGGATTTGGGGAATTTTGGAATTTAGGGAATTTTGGATTTGGGGTATTTTGAATTTGGGGAATTTTGGAATCTGGAGAATTGTGGACCTAGGGAATTTTGGATTTGGGGAATTTTGGAATTTAGGGAATTTTGGATTTGGGGTATTTTGAATTTGGGGAATTTTGGAATCTGGAGAATTGTGGACCTAGGGAATTTTGGATTTGGGGAATTTTGGAATTTAGGGAATTTTGGATTTGGGGTATTTTGAATTTGGGGAATTTTGGAATCTGGAGAATTGTGGACCTAGGGAATTTTGGATTTGGGGAATTTTGGAATTTAGGGAATTTTGGATTTGGGGTATTTTGAATTTGGGGAATTTTGGAATCTGGAGAATTGTAATTTGGGGAATTTTGGAATTTGGGGAATTTTGGAATTTGGGGAATTATGGATCTAGGGAATTATGGATCTAGGGAATTTTGGAGTTTGGGGAATTTTGGAATTTAGGGAATTTTTGAGTTTGGGGAATTTTTGAATTTGGGGAATTATGGATCATGGGAATTTTGGAGTTTGGGGAATTTTTGAATTTAGGGAATTTTGGATTTGGGGAATTTTGGATTTGTGGTATTTAGGTATTTGGGAGTTTTGGAATTTGGGGAATTTTTGATCTAGGGAATTTTGGATTTAGTGAATTTTGGAATTTGGGGAATTTTGGAACTTGGGGAATTTTGTATCTGGTGAAATTTTGGAATTGAAGATTTTGGAATTTGAGGAATTTCGTATTTAGGGTTTTACTAATTTTAACAATTATAAAATGAACAATCATTATCATATCAGTCATCAATCATCAATAATTAATTGTAAATGGTAATTGAAATATTACATGCATTAAAATTCTCTTCTTCTACTAAACAGTTATTTTCGCTAATTATTGTTCGTGAGCTGTTTTCCAGAAATAGTATTGTTTCATAGGTCTTAGTCACGCACCTATTCAATTATTGATAGTTAAAGCGTTATCCGTAGATTCTTATTTTCAATTATCGACAAGGAAGTAAACATGATAAGAGTATTTAACAAGATGACGTTTGCACAAGTCTAAACAGGTGGATAAAGAAAAGATAATGCTAAGGAACAACTTCTAGTATTACATTTAACATATACTGTCACACAATTCTTTTTTATATCTCATCTTTTTCTCGATTCTTATAAAACTACGTTACATAATTCCTTCGTTATACCTTGATTATATATTTCTCACCGCGTTCAAAATTTGCATCGGATTTCTTGTCTCTCATCCATATAATTTATTCGACGTGTTTAGCACGCAGGTGATTAAGAACGAGTTGGGAAGGACAATCACGACTCGATGAATTTGTAATCATTTAGTAATCATTTCGCGTGAGATTGCATTTTTATTCGAACACATTCTATCAGATTTGTACAAAGTGAAGCTTTTTTAAAATTTCAATGAACGACTCGTAATTAATAAATAAAACAAATTTGCATATTTCCCGTAGAAATATTGTTCGTCAATTACTCGAAATCAAAGTACAAAGCGTTGAACGACTAAAAAAGCAGTGGTACCGTATCGAACGGATGTTATTCGTTTAAACGACAACGAAGTTAATTAACTGTGTAGCAAGATTCTCTTTGAACGGCGGAGCTTAATCGCAACATGGTGCATTTAGTCTGTGCATTTAGACACGACGTGAATTTTCACCGTAATTATTCCACGAAATCATTACTGCACGATCATTCCATAGCTTTATCGGTCCGATAATAATTATCGAGTGCCGCCATCTTGATGATATCTTGGTATTGAGGAACGGAGATACTTGGAATTTTGCAAAACCGTTAAACTCTGTTGTTCAGAAGATAATAAATTGTGCACGGTTTCTGACCGTTAGCATGCAACGTAACAGCAGGTTTTCAACACATGCTTCAAAGTGTGATGCAACATGATATTCGCGTAATTTTAGCATGACTAAGCATTTGGACGATTTGTTTGGAATTTGACTGTTTGTTGATGTAAGAACTTCGGGATTTGGATATTTTAGAATTGGAATTTGGTCTTTTTGGCAATGGAGGAGTTTTGGATTAGAGGATTTTTTAATTTGGGGGATTTCGAAATTTGGGGAATTTGGGATTTGGGGAGTTTGGGATTTGGGGAATTTGGGATTTGGGGAATTTGGGATTTGGGGAATTTGGGATTTGGGGAATTTGAGATTTGGGGAATTTTGGGATTTGGGGAATTTTGGCATTTGGGGAATTTTGATTTGGGATTTGGGGAATTTGGGATTTGGGGAATTTGGGATTTGGGGAATTTGGGATTTGGGGAATTTGGGATTTGGGGAATTTGGGATTTGGGGAATTTGGGATTTGGGGAATTTGGGATTTGGGGAATTTGGGATTTGGGGAATTTGGGATTTGGGGAATTTGGGATTTGGGGAATTTGGGATTTGGGGAATTTGGGATTTGGGGAATTTGGGATTTGGGGAATTTGGGATTTGGGGAATTTGGGATTTGGGGAATTTGGGATTTGGGGAATTTGGGATTTGGGGAATTTGGGATTTGGGGAATTTGGGATTTGGGGAATTTGGGATTTGGGGAATTTGGGATTTGGGGAATTTGGGATTTGGGGAATTTGGGATTTGGGGAATTTGGGATTGGGGAATTTTGGAATTTGGGGAATTTGGGATTTGGGGAATTTTGAATATGGGGAATTTGGAATTTGGGAGATTTTGAATTTGGGAAATTTTGGAATTTGGGATTTGGAGAATTTTGGAATTTGTGGAATTTGGGGAATTTTTGAATTTGGGGGATTTTGGAATTTGGAATTGGAAAATTTTGGAATTGGGGAATTTTGGAGTTGGGGAATTTTGGATTTGGGGAATTTTGGATTTGGGAAATTTTGGAATTTGGGATTTTGGGGATTTTGGAATTTGGGGAATTTTGGATTTAAGGAATTTTGGATTTGGGGAATTTTGGATTTGGAAAATTTTGGAACTGCAAAATTTGGAATTGGTGTTTTGAGAATTTTGGAATTTGATATTTAGCAACTAGTAAATTTGAGAATTGACAACTTGAGAATTTTGGAACATTAGAATTTGAAAAATGCCTCGAAAAATAATCTTCGAATCTACAAATTTGTAAATCCATAACCTTCGCAATTTACAAACAAAAGTTTCAGCAAAAATTTCCAATCTCTTCTCCTCAATCACTAAGAAAAAAAAATTTTCCTCAACTACCGAATTAAGTTCCATAACATGCAAAACACGTATTATCAAATAAAGCTTAATCAACACCAGTTCGCGTATCCCGTTCGTTCACCCAAGAGTACCGATATTGTCTAAACCCGTTTCAAAGTCGAATCGACTCGATAGAACGTAAAAAAATTCACCTTGAATCTGAGTGGACCAAGCGGTGGTTTCGCGTATGGTACTCCACGAAACGCGAGAAATTTATTTCCATAGGCATTTTCCTCGACTACGCCACGTAGCTCTCCTTGTTTCACACGCACCACAGTATTCGCGTTCGCCATCGTAACTCGACACGGAGATGAAAATATCAACTGTACCGATCAACGGTTGCCGACAATGTGTTGAAAATACATTCTTTTATAGCCTTAGGCAGATGAAGATCGAGGTAGGGATGGATAACGAGACAGGCTGCTTGATTCGTCGTTGAGAACCGTCGCAACCGGGTTTACTCGTGCCAAATTGTGGCGGTAAAACGGTCTCCTGCAAACTCGCTTACAGATTATTTTTATAAATAGAATAATTTCAGATTAATTTTATCTATTACATAATTTAGCTGTGAATTTTAACTGCTGTTTATTTTTATTGTTTGATTAGGGGCAGATAACTTCGTGCGTTGAGAACCGTCGCCAATCGGGCGTCTGTCGAGTCGTGGCGCGAAAACCGTGGTCCGAGCGATAAATTCAAACTCGCTTACGGATTAATAGTTAATATTATAAACCAAATAGCTCGAGATTAATTTTAACTGTTACGTATTGTAACTGTTCATTTTATCTGGTGTTAATTTTTACTGTTAGATCAGTTTCGATTATTAATTTTGACTATTATCCCGCCGTGCTCCGACAAGTGTCACGTGACGCGTACTTTCAGCGCGGTCTTGCTCGAATCTTGAATGCGTTTCATGTAAATTTAACGAGTGACAATGAAAATTAAAAGTGTAGTATTTCCTTTAACTGTATTTCCAGCGTTCAGTTATATTAGCGATACAAATTAAAATTCAACATGTACACGCTAAAAATATAAATCCTGAAAAAACCGTGGAACCTAGTATCAGTGAAATGCAAAGAAACCCGTACGAGTGGCATATAAAATAAAGTGTTAAAATTTTAAACCGGTGAAACTGACATTTAGTATCTGGTTGTAAAAAATTTGAAGAATTGAACTCTGAACTTTTCTATCGCCAAAACAGTGGGATCACTGTTAAATAATTTATGAAGGCGAATAATTTTGAAATTGACTGGATAAAAATATTCCATAAATTTTTACAGGGAGTGACAACTTTATAAGAAATTTTTGAAGAATAGTTATTTAGATGAAAATTGATACAGTTTACGTGTCCTTCATCTAAAACCTTTCAGAACAATTTGCATACAACTACTATATCTCCAGAATTGCACAGAATTGCATGCATAGTTTAGCATTAATGCATAAAAGGTAGTTGGCAAAATTTCGATGCACATATCAGTAGCTCAATAGCGTTCCTCGAGCAACTAAACAAGATTGATGTAAACATTAATATTATGTAATATCCGCGTTTCAACGCGTAATTATGTTGCATAAACATTTGCGTGCGTATTACATGTTTATGTATGTTAATTCAAATGTTTGAATTAATAGTCAAATATAAATTAATGTGAACTGATTAAAGTAAGTGGCAAATGTGCACTGTTAAAACATTTCGAAAATTACGAATGTTATTTTGAAAATTTCCTAATTCTAAAATTACCAAATTCCTAAATCCCCAATTCTAAAATTCCCCATATCCTTGAAACCTCAATTCAAAAATTACCCAGATCTAAAATTCCCCATATACCAAATTCCGGTATACCAAAATTACCCAATTCCAAAATTCCCCATATTCCAAAATTCCCCATATTCCAAAATTCCCCAAATCCTCAAAATCCCCAATACCAATATTCCCCAATTCCAAAATTCCCCAGATCCAAAATTCCCCAGATCCAAAATTCCCCAGATCCAAAATTCCACAGATCAAAAATTCCCCAGATCCAAAATTCCCCAAATTCGAAAATTCCCTAAATTCCAAATTTCCCAAATTCCAAAATTCCCCAAATCCCAAATTCCCCAGATCCAAAATTCCCCAATTCCAAAATTCCCCAAATCCGAAATTCCCCAATTCCAAAATTCCCCAAATCCAAAATTCCCCAAATCCACAATTCCCCAATACCCAAATTCCCCAGATCACAAATTCCCCAATTCCAAAATTCCCCAAATTTCAAAATGCCCCAGATCCAAAATTCCCCAAATTCGAAAATTCCCTAAATTCCAAATTTCCCAAATTCCAAAATTCCCCAAATCCCAAATTCCCCAGATCCAAAATTCCCCAATTCCAAAATTCCCCAAATCCAAAATTCCCCAAATCCAAAATTCCCCAAATCCAAAATTCCCTAAATTCAAAACTCCCCAAATCCAAAATTCCCCAAATCCAAGATTACCAAATTACCAAAGTATCAAGTTACTTATCAAATAATTTTAAAACAAAATAATAGAAAAGTTCTCGTGATAATCGTAAATGTTCGATAGCAATGGTTATAACGCAATATATTCCATCACACTCGTCATATGTTACTCTTCGAATCAGTTAATGATGATTGATCGGTGGATGAACGATAAGAGGGTTTTGTCAGATCATTAATGCAATGGCACACCTTGTACACTACATTTATCCTCGGCGATAAATCACTTTTACTTCCTGATGGAGTGTTATATGATCCCCTTCGTTTCGTCGAATATAAAGCCGTACGTGTTTATGAATCAGCATTCATCTTATTCGGATGATTAAATCGTGAGGGGAGGATACGAACATATATTTGATTAACCGATATCGGGGAAACATTTCAAATATCTGACTCTTGCAATTAGAAATAATTTCGAATTTTATACGCTTTTTATTTCATGACACACCGTATGCGTCATATGTATTGCATCTATATTTCATGACGCACCATATGCGTCAGTTGCATATCTACCTTATGACGCACCTTGTGCGTCGATGTGGTGCATCTATATTTCATGACGCACCATATGCGTCAGATGTATATTTACTTCATGACGCACCTTGTGAGTCTATGTACTTCGTTTATATTTCATGACGCATCAGGTGCGTCAAGGCCTTATGAGGACGCACCATGTGTGTCAGGACTGTATACTTCACGACGCACCTTATGCGTTATGTATAGAGACTGTATACTTCACGACGCACCTTATGCGTCATGTATGGAGACTGTATACTTGACCTTGTGCGTCGAGACTGTACGCGTACTTGACGCAACTGATGCGTCGAGATTGTGCACATATGAAATTTTTTAGATTCGAACCATTTCGATACTTTAAGCGTTAAATTTGAAAGCTCGTAAACCGAAAGTAGTTTCTTGGTGAGAGACATGGGTAGCCGTTGCGAAGGGGTAAAAATTGATTCGAACGATAAGCAGAAAAATTGCAACGCGGTTTCGCGTGCATACGGGCCGATAAATCTTCGAATCTCGACGATAATAAAGTTTCCAGGGCGCGATTCGAAGGTTCCTCTTTTGTAACAGCCTTTATGCGTCCTAAGAGCTCGTATTTTACACCCTTTGTCCGCCTCGAGAACGCTCTTGTATGTCGCGGATTTTATCGCTTTCCTCCTCGCTAAACACCGACCAAGCAACACTGGAAGGTGTTTAAGAAAAGCGGCGAATCAGATTACGATTTATCGCCGCGGATGCGATGAATATAGCCCGGAGAAACCTGTGGAAACTCCACTTTTATCCCCGCGAATTAAAACCGCCTCCTGCTACTCGTCCTCTCGGTATTACTATCTTTAATTCGCTATATACCTTCCTACGCTTTCAACTTTTATAAGATAAAATACCGGATGAAGCTGAAATGTTTAATAAAAGCTGAGAGCCGAATGGAGAGCTCGGGCTTTCGGATTTAAAGGAATGTTGATATTAATTCGAAATAAGCTTGTACGTTTTATACAATTTACCTGCTCTTAATTTATTTTTTTTTTTAAATCTTAATTCAATGTAATTGAATTTTTAGTCGTACGAAGAGTATAGTAACCAAATTAGTGTGATTGTGAAATGTCCTCAGCGCACGTTCCTATCCGTTATTCTAATTTCTTCAGTTATTCCAGTCTTTATTAATTATTCCGAAGTATTGCATGTGTCAATATTTATTCTAAGACAGGTGCTACTTAGCATTCGAGTCAGACCTACGCCACTGAAGCAAAACAAACATTGCATTTATACAGAGTTGAAATATTTTTACGAGTTATTCAAGAGAACGGAGCTAGTAGTAAAGTGAAAAATAATCACTCGTTTATTCTTTCGCCTTCAATGGAGTGTTCAAGGTGACTTGACGTTAATGAACGTTAAATGTTACTTCATTCTTTGCCTTACCATCTTCTTAATCAGCAAAGACGAAAATTCTGCAATTTGGGAATTTGTGATTTAGGGATTTGGGGAATTTTGGATATGGGGAATTTTGTATTCGGGGACTTAGGAATTTGGGAAATTTTTAATCTAGGGAATTTTGGATTTGGGGAATTTTGCAGTGACTTGACGTTAATGAACGTTAAATGTTACTTCATTCTTTGCCTTACCATCTTCTTAATCAGCAAAGACGAAAATTCTGCAATTTGGGAATTTGTGATTTAGGGATTTGGGGAATTTTGGATATGGGGAATTTTGTATTCGGGGACTTAGGAATTTGGGAAATTTTTAATCTAGGGAATTTTGGATTTTGCGAATTTGGGATTTGGAGAATTTTCAATCTGGGGAATTTGAAATTTGGGGAGTTTTGGATCTGGGGAATTTTGTATTTGGGGACTTAGGAATTTGGGAAATTTTTAATCTAGGGAATTTTGTATTTGGGGAATTTTGAATTTTGCG